CAGCTGAGTAGCTGCCTTAGGGATGTGGTCTGCTTCCAGTTTATAGGAAGAAGCTTTGAGAAAAGTCTCTGAGCATTTTGGCATGTGTGGACCCTGCAGTGAGCCGAGTTTTCATTCAGCAGCCTGCCATATTGTCTGCCAATCTAGGGACTGTTTCTGGACTTGAACTAGTGGCCTGCCGTGTTGCTTGATAATCTTGGGACTGTGACATTTTACTTGTCGACCTTGGGTTTGTCAGCATCAGCAGCCAGCAGCTGCCTGAGTTGAGAAATGCGTCCAGCTCCAGTGGCCTGGAGCAAGAGGCAGAATTTAAGCTCAAGGTCAAAAGGCTTTCACCCAGCCCCTAGAGCTGACACTTTGAACTTGGACTTCTAACCTCTTAAACTGTAAAAGAATAAACCTCTGTTTGTTACAGCCACACATTTGTGGTATATTCTATTAGAACAGTACTCTGGTAGCATAGTGGCTAAGGCACTTGACTGCTAACCAGAAGGCTGGTGGTTCAAACCCACCAGCCACTCCTCGGAAGGAAGATGGGGCAATCTACTTCCATAGTCATACTACCTCAGAAACCCAAGGAAGGGTCGCTATGAGTAGGGTCCAACTTGATGGCAGATAACAACAACAACAGAGAATCAAAACAATTGCTGTCTGCAATTTGTGTGTGTGTGTGGGGGGGGGGGTTTCAGCATATAATAAATAAATGCAATTATAAATGGTTTTGGTATCAGGGAAACGTTTATCTCATTGAGTTGGGAAGTGTTTCCTCTACCTTCACTTTCTGGTAGAATTTGCAAAGAGTGATAGTATTTCTTCTTTAAATATTTGATAGGATTATCTGGTGAGTCAATCTACGTGTGGAGTTTTCTTTGTGGGAAGAATTTAACTACAAATTCAATCTCTTTTATTATAAGCCTATTCAGATATAAAACCAAACTCACTGATATTGAGTTGGTTCTGACTCATAGCCACCCCTCCTCGGGTTTCTGAGGCAGTATGTTTACAGATGTACATTGCCCAGTCTTCCTTCCAAGGAACGGCTGGTGGGTTTGAACTGTCAGCCTTCTGGTTAGCATCAAATAACTTAGGCACTATGCCACCAGAGCGTCTATATATATATATATATATATATATATATATATATCGCACAAATATTGGTAATTTGTATCTTTCTAGGATTCCATTTCATCTAAAACAAACAAACAAACAAAACCTCGCTGCTATTAAATCAATTCCGTCTTAGCAGCCCCCATTGGGAAGTAGATTGCTCCATTGTTCTTCCATGGAGCAGCTGGTGGGTTTGAAACACCAGCCTTCTGGTCAGCAGTCAAATGCTGTAGGCACGGAGCCACCAGAGCTCTTTATTTCATCTAAGCTGTCTAAATTACTGGCATAAAGTTAGTCACAGTATTCCCTTATGGTTCTTTCCATTACTGTGAGGTTGTTAGCGGTATTCTCCTTCATTCCTGGTTTTGGTTATCTGTGACTTATCTATTTTTCTTGGTCAGTCAAGCTAAAGATGTGTCAATTTTGTTCCCCCTTTCATAGCTTAAGTTATAAAATTCCCCTAAGCATTGCTTAAGCTGCATCCCATACAGTATTTTATGTTATGTTATATTTTCATTTAATTCAAAATATTTTAAAATTTCCCTTGTGATTTCTTCTTTGACCTATGGGTTATTTGTTTAATTTCCTAATATTTGTGGAGTTCCCAAATTTCTTTCTGTTTTTGAATTATAGTTTAATCATGTGTGGTCAGTGCCCATGTGTTGTATGATTGTTATCCTTTTAACTCTATGAGATTTGCTTTATGGCCTGAAGGATGTTTCATGTACACTGTGTGTATCTGCTGCTTTTGGATGGAATGCTCTGTAGGTGTCAATTAGGTCAAGTTAGTTGATAGTGTTACTCAAGTTTCCTATCTTCTGCATGACTTTTGTCTAGTTGTGTTTCCATTATTGAGAGTATGGTATTGAAATATTCTATTATTATTTAATTTTCTAATTCTCTCTTCAATTTAGTCAGTTTTATTTCATGTATTTTGGTGTTTTGTTGGTAGGTGACTGTGTGTCTGTAATTGTTATACCTTCCTGCCAAATTGACCCTTTTATTACTGGTAGCAGAGTGCCTAAGGCACTTGACTGCTAACCAGAAGGCTGGCAGTTCAAACCCACCAACCACTCCTCAGAAAGGAGGTTAGGCAATCTACTTCCATAGTGATACTGCATCGGAAACCCCAGGAGGGGTTGCTATGAGTCAGGTCTGACTCCATAGCACATAACAACAACAACAACAACAACAACATTATAAAATAACTCACTTGTCTCTAAGCAGCATTATTGTCAAAGTCTGTTGTATTTGATATTGGTATAGCGACTCCAGCTCAGCTCTCTGTGGTTACTGTTTGCATGGTCTATTGTCTCATTCTTTTACTTTCAACTTATTGTGTCTTTGAATATAAAGTGTGTCTTTCCAGTTGAATTTCCTTTTTTGTTAAATTCAGTCTGACAATTTCTGCCTTCAGTGGGAATGCTTAATCTTTTCTTGTTTAATGAATTATTGGTATGGTTGAATTTACATTTGCTATTTATCTATTTGCATTTTTTTATCTCATGTCTTTTTTGTTGTTGTTTCTCTGTTTCTTCTTTACTTTTTGTGCAAAAGAAATCTTGTCTAACATTCCATTTTAATCCATTTGTTTTGTTTTCAGTTATTTTCTCAGTAGTTTCTCTGGGTATTACAATATGCATCTTAATTTATCACAGTATATTTAAGAGTAACACTAACTTAATTCCAGGGAAAATTAGAAACTTTGCTTTAATGAAGTTCCATTTTCCCCTCCATTGTGCCGTTATTATCATAAGTATTACATCTTTATATAAGTCTAACTATGTTGTTGTTGTTGTTAAGTGCCATCAAGTAGTCTCCAACTCATGGCAACCCTAAGCACAGAAGAATCAAACACTGCCCAGTTCTGAGCCAGCTCCATGATTCTTGCTACACTTGAGCCCATCGCCACCTCCACTGTGTCCATCCACCTCGTTGAGGGCCTTCCCCTCTTTCATCGACCCTCCACCTTACTAAGCATGACATCCTTCTTCAGGGAATGGTCCCTATGGATAACATGACCAAAGTCTAACCGTAGTTTTATAATTATTGTTTTATGCAACTATGTTTTAAATCAGTTAAAAGAAGAAAAGGGTAATAAATATATTTCTAATGTCAATTCTGTTTACCTGCATAATTACCATTACTGGTGTCCTTTCTTTCTTTATGTGCTTTTGACTTTCCTTTTCTTTCAGCCTGAAGAACTTCCTTTATTATTTCTTACAAGTGACGTGTGCTCATAATGAATTTTCTTCTCTGTTTTTCTGAGGATGTCTATATTTTACATTCAATTTTGAAAGATACTTTGCTGCATGTAGAATTCCTGGTTGATAGTTTTTTTGTAAAACACTTTGAGTATGTTATTCTCACCATCATTATTTCTGATGAAAAGTCAGTGGTTCATTTCATTGTGGTTGTTTCCCCTGTATGTGACGAGTCATTTCAATTTTAGAATTTCCATTTGATTCTTTTTTAAAAATAATTTTTAAATCTTTATTAATATTCTCTAATTGATGAGTTAATAACATTATACTTTCCTTTGATTCTTTATTGTTCTTTTTAGTTCTTTGAACATACTTATAATAGTAGTTTTGTTGTTCTCATCTGCTAAGTGTAACATCTGGGCCCCTAAAGGTAGTTTCTACTGACTGTATTTTTTTCCTGTGTATGGGTCACACTTTCTTGTTTCTTTGCCTGTCTCATACTTTTTTTTTTTTTTAATGAAAACTATACATTTTAGGTAGTATAGAGGAATAACACTAGATTTTCCCTCTGATTTCCCTATGTCAGATATTGTTTTTGATTTCCCTATGTCAGATATTGTTTTTGTTGCCTCTTTTTTTGGTTTGTTTGTCTGTCTTTGTTTCATGACTTGTCTGAACTAATTCTATAGTCTGTCTCCCTCACATTGTATAGCTACTGATGTCTCTTCTCTTTTTCTTCTTCTTCTTTTTTTTTTTTTTTTTTTTTTGATGTTTTTATTTTTAAACATGGATTACTAGATGTTTCACTTGAATCAGCATAGCATAGTGGTCAGCCAATGATTGGTCGGGGGTTGTGCTTAAATCATGAGCCAATAAGGCTTCCACGATTTTCTAGCGGATGTGTGTGTGAGTTGGGGAACACATTCCAAGTTTAGGTAGTTTACAAGATTGACTAGCTTTTTCTTGGACATGCTTTCTCATGTCATTTTATGCATGTCCTAGTTTTCATATTCAGCATGAATGCATGGATAACCATTTTGCTATTTTATTTCCCAACTATTCCTGTTCCCATTCTTGCTAGTCTGCTCTTCCATTGCTCGCCCCTTCCAGTATGACAGCCTTAAACTAACTGAGATGTTGGCCTTCTCCTGGACTTGTACTCTGTTCCAGATCAACTTCACCCTGTCGAGCAGTGGAGCTACTGGTTTCCATGACTTTCTATGCCTGTTTAGAGCTACCAAATTAATAGAAGCAGGAAGTGGGATGGGGTGGAGAGCATCAAAATTTTGCTCGAAATTATTTCACTCAAACATTTTGCTCTTTTTGGACATTAAACTTTTTCTACCTTTTCAGTATAATGATCACCTTTATGAAGCTTTCCCTTCTTACCGTTCATATGAATTATCATCTGCAAATCAGTGTGATCTCTTGCTTATGAACATTAATTTTTAGTTAGTAGATCTTTTGTGAAGAATACTTTGAAAAATAAATGGAATGGCAAGATCGCACTGCTAGCTTGATTTTTTTATTGGGATGGTTCCTCGAGTTAAATTAGCTTTCACTCTTTTTTGTTTGTTTGTTTATTTTATTCATGTTTTTAAGCAAAAGGCAAAGAGATCTGTGAACAGGAGAGAGTTGGCAGAGCCTCACTCTTCTCAACTCTGACTTCCATGTTTGCTTTTAATCTAGAACCAAATAACTATCGAACTATGCATGGCCGGGCAGTAAATGGCAGCCAGTTGGGAAAGGATTACATCCAGCTGAAGAGCTTGTTGCAGCCCATCCGGATTTACTCCAGAGCCAGCTTGTACGGCCCTAATATTGGGCGGCCCAGGAAGAACGTAATCACCCTCCTTGATGGGTAGGTCAGATTATTTAGCTGTTCTTATGACATTGTTCATTAATGGAATGGATTGATGCATTTCTATTTTTCCTGGTTATTTTCTTGATGTTAAGAAGAAAAGAGACATTCTTTCCAAGTAGCTATCAAATCAGGGCTTCATTATACAGTGTGGAAGAAAATTTCATTTCTTCAGGCCTTTCACAGTTAGCAGAAGGTGGTGATGTTAGGGGAGGGATATTATAATCTCAAGAAGGGTTGGAAAAATGCATTGTTTGAAAAACCATATTTACTATTATAGCATTTCAGAATATAATTTTCTATTTTAAACAAACAAAACAATAAAATAAAGATTACCTACTCTAGTCCTATATACTCTTACAGAAAGTAAAGCTTCATAAAGTCTTGGCCAGTGGAGCTTAGTCAAAAAGTTGACACTATAAACATTTGTACATTAAAGCAAAATTTAACCAGTAGATTTAATAGCAGATATTCTGCAGAATTGCTACCACTTGAGTTATTTAATTTTGACTGAACATGAAAATAATTTTTAAGCATTGGTATGTATTAGTCACTATGTTAAAGGTTTTCTGCTTCAGTCCTGCTAGTGGGCTAGACTCAAATTGGATAAGTGAGACATCCATGCAGGTGGAGTCCAATTATGCAAACTCAGAGACAATGTCTGACCATGAATGCATTGTCAACAAAGAGATAGAATTATGGTCAAAAAAGAGCCAAGATGTAACAGGAAAAAGAAAGATGGGGAAAATGAGGTTGAGAGATTCAGTTTATCTGGAACACAAGGTATGCACCAAGGCACACCTTTTATATGGTACACTTTGAATGGGCTTAGTTATTCCTGCAAATCCAAAGATGAGTAATACATTTTTCCGTGAAGTGCATAGATCAGTTGAGATAAGATAAATGCTATAGAAGTAAATAGAGCTGTATGAGGAGAGAAAAATCTTCATCTTCTGGAAGGTCTTTGTGGCCTCATGACCCTTGTGACTCTCTCCAACCTTTTCTACTTTCTTAGTCCTGATCTAAGCTAATGAATAGGAGCTCTGGTAGCATAGTACCCAGGGCATTTGACTGCTAATCAGAAGGCTCGTGGTTCAAATCCACCAGCCACTCCTCAGAAGGACGGTTGGGCAATCTACAATTGTAGTGATACTGCCTTGGAAACCCAAGGAGGGGTTGCTGTGAGTCGGGTTCGACTAGACAGCAGTGAGTTTGGGTTTTTTTTTTTTTTTTCTTTTTTTTGGTTAAGCTAATGAACATAACGGCCATTACTGAAGGCTTGGGAACACATAAGATTTTCATTGTAACAACCTTGTCAGATCTGATCCATAATGATCCCTCCTTGGGTTGCTGAGGCAGTGTCACTATGGAAGTAGATTGCCCAACCTTCCTTCCGAGGAGTGGCTGGTGGGTTTGAACCGCCAGCCTTCTGGTTAGCAGTCAAGTGCCTTAGCCACTATGCTACCAGAGTAACAACCTTAGCAACCTAAAATTTAATTTTAGGTATTCTGCCTTTTTACAAAAAGTCCCTGAGCCCTTACTCAACTCCTTCTGTCTTTTCCCACTCTTCTCTTTTCTGTCCTTCTCTATCAAGTGCAAAAATGGAATTTTCTCTTCTTTCTTGTAGAACAATTCCACTATCTTGGCCTCTGTCCACAAGTACAATTCTGGGCTTCCTTTTAAAGCATATTCAAATACTCATTGAAACTTTGAAATTACTCTGTATGTAAGGGAAGGAGAATAAAGGCGTGGATGGAGATAGGAAGGTTGGTCTCATTTTGTTGTTGCCCTGTGCCATGGACTATTCTGACTCATAGTGACTCATTAGCACAGATACAGCATTGGAAACTCTATGGGACAATCTACTCTGTCTAATAGGGTCACTATGAGTCTGAATTGACTTGTGGGCAACAGGTAATCTTTATGGGAGCAGATCACAAGGTTTTTTTCCCTACAGAACTGCTGATGAGTTTGAACTGCCTTCCTTTTAGTTAGCAGCCAAGTGCTTAATCATTGTTTCACCAGGGCTCCTTTGGTGTCATTGGACTTGTTATAATTTGGTGGTAAGAATTATGTATGTCAAACTTTAGTCACAGTTCAGGGATATATTAATAAAGCAAAACTAATGCTTTTGAGTTGTGGTGCTGGCGAAGAATGCTGAAAGTACCATGGACTGCTAAAAGAACTAACAGATCTGTCCTGGAGGAAGTGCAGCCAGAATGCTCCTTGGAAGCAAGAATGGCCAGACTTCGTCTCACCTATTTTGGTCATGTTGTAAGAAGGGACCATTCCCTGGAGAAGGATGTCATGCTTGGTAGGGTGGAGGGTCGACGAAAGAGGGGGAGGCCTTCAACAAGATGGATTGATACAGTGGCTGCGATGATGGGCTCGAGTATAGCAGGGATTGTGGGGCTGGTGCGGGATCGGGCAGTGTTTCGTTCTGCTGTGCATGGGGTCGCTATGAGTCGGAAACGACTCGACGGCACTTAACAACAACAACAACAACAATAACTCTATCATTTAAGTCCACATCACTATTGCTTTTAGATAATCCTTTTTCTTTAATGATCATATTAATGTATTCTCATAAGACTCACAGTTTGCTCTCATTGCATGACCATGTGTCAACCACTCATTCATTCATTCAGCAAATGTTCTTGAGCAACTACTGTGTTACAGGTACCATGTTAGGAACTGAGAGTATAATAGTGAACACAAACTTCTCTTTGCTGTGTGGAGAGTACAATATGGTAAAGGAAAAACACATTAATCGACTAATCTTTAAACTAATATAATACCCCATAGAGATACATGAATGGGTATGGGTGCTATGAATGATAAGGGTTGGAGGGTTGACTGAGTTACACAGGTCATAAAAGAGTTCCTTAAGGAAATGACAAGTAAGAAGAAGAGAGCCATTTAAGGTGTGATCTAAGGGATGAGTAGGAGTCAGTTAGGTAAAGAGAAAAGCAAACTGTTTTCAGTGTTCTTTGCAGAAAGAGAAGTGTGTACAAAGACCCTGAGGCTGAAAAAAAAGGCCAAAGTGGCAAGAGAAAGGTAGAGTTAGAGAAATAAGTAGGAATCATATTATATGGGGGCTGATAGGCATGATGAAGGGCTTAGAATTTCTTCTAAGTGCAGTGAGGAAGATACTGAATGTTTAAGGTATCATGGAAATCATTTGATTTATTATATAAAAAATATGATCTACTCTGTGGAAAATGAATTGGAGGAAGCTGGGAAGTCAATGAGAAGGCTGCTACAGTAGTGCAGAGAAAGAATGATGGAGCCCTAGACTAGCATGGTGGCAGTGGAATATATTGTTGGAAGTACAATCTATTAGACTTGATGATATATTGGATAAAGGTATGGTGATGTGGCATAGAGATGCATAAGTAACTGGACAGATAGTGCTACTATTTAATGAGTTGGGAAATACAAGGAGCATAACTGGTTCTGGGAGGAAAATCATGACTTCAGTCTTCATGTTATATTTATTGTGTTTGAAGCTAACTGCAGATGGCAAGTGTATCATTGAATATGTGTCAAGGGATCAAGATCTGTGCTAGAGATATTCATGTTGAAAGTATGTAAATGGGATTTAAGGCCAGGAGAATGGATGAGATTAGTTAAATAATGTAGAAAGAAAGAGACAGAGACCTAGGAGAGAACTCAGAGGAGCTCCAACATTTAGAGACTTGAGAAAGGAGGAGCGATCTCAGAGGCAAGAAGGATGGGGATAAGGTAGCACAAAAACCAAGAGAAAAACTTGAAATAAGGAGGGAGTGATGCTGGGAGCTCAAGTGTCGTGAGTCAGAAAAGTGGCATTAGATTGGGCAACAAGGTTAGTGGTGACCTTAAGAAAAACAGTTCAAGGAAAAGTGCAGTGAGAAGCCAGAGAGCCATAGTTTGAAGAGTGAATGGGAGGTAAGAAATCAAAATAATAATATGAACACTCTCAAGAGAAATTTTACTGTGAAGGAAAATAAGAAAAATGAAAATAAATATGAGATTAAGGGAGGTGATGGAATTTTCCTCTCCTTAATGTGGGGGGTAGAACATGTTTGTATGTTGATGAGACTTACCCAGGAGAAGAGAAACAACAGATGAAAAAGGAGACGGAGGAGCTAGCCAAAGACAGAAGTCCTTTAAGATTAACCAGTTGTCGTCAAGTGGGTTCCAATTCATGGTCACTCCGTGTGTGTCAGAGTAGAACTGCGCTCCACAGAGTTTTTAATGGCTCATTTTTCAGAAGCAGATCACCAGAACTTTCTTCATAGATGCCTCTGGGTGGACTTGAACCTTCAACCTTTTGATTAGCAGCCTAACACTTTAACTATTTGCACCACCCAAGAACTCTGCCATGAATGTTAGAAGCGATAGAATCCAGAAGAATTGGACTTCATTAAAAGGAGGGGCAATTTCTCAAGGATAACAGAGATCAGGATCAAATTTTTCCATCTATTAATAGATTAAAAAAGAAAAAACACACCTAGGACAAGCCTCTACCAAGACTCCAGCCCAAACTGAGAGGCCATTTTAGAGTCATTCATTTTCTTTGTTCACACACTCAATTAGTTACTAAGTAAAGGTGTAGTAGGGCATCCCAGGTTGTGAAGCTGGTGTAAATGTTAGCTCATAGATGCTGCTTTGTTAAGAATAAGTCAAGAAACTTTGACCCAATAATAAAGAACAGTTCAAAGAAATATGTGTGACTGGGGTGTTGTGGTGGCAACAACAATATATATTCAAAAACTAAAATAGGACGCAAGAGAATAGAGAAAATCATTTAGGGAAAGTAAAGGTACCGATGAGCAATTTTTTTCTCTTATGAATCAAAAAGAGAGAGAGAGAGAGATTTATCTTTCTTAATGTATATGTACCAAATATAGAGTGATATATAACTAGGAACGCATAAACATCCCTAGCAACTTGAACTAACAATAACAAAAATGTCAGCACTTTAAATCACCAGCTCTGTAGTCTTGTCCAAACCTCCT